TGCTTGAGAACTTGTAAAAGATCGGCTAACACCTAAGTGTTTAACAATTTTTTGAATTGATAAGCCCTCAAAATTTGTTTCATTTGCTAATGAAGATGCTTTAAAAGTAGATATGCGTCTGTAGTCTTATAATATCCCCTATAAAAACAAATTTCTTGGTATCATTCTGAAATTATACGATTTTTTGTTTGGCAAATCGACTCCGTTTTGAATCTAATAAAGCTATGTTAAAAAAAGGGTATACATATTGAAAAGCAAGTTTAATCTTATGTTTATTACAAATCGGGATGTGCTCTTTTCTTTATGGTGTGTTTATTAGATATGATATATTTTTTGTATGATAATTATTTAATAAAAAATTCTCTATAATGTCCTGTAAAAGCATAGTAATGAAAACAGTATAAGAACAAACTCCTGTTCAGAAAATCGACTCCACTCTGAACAATTTTAAAACACATTTTTATAGGAATTTTAGATTAGCCACCTGATCTTAAATTTCACATTGAATTTATTATCATTATGCCGAAATCAATAACTTAACCAAATCAGCCAAAAAATCGTTCGGCTAATTTTTTTCAGGTATTCTAGGATTTATAAAAACGGCTGTAATAATCAATTTAACCAAATCGAGTAGGCAGATAAGATAAGATACCGTCGCATGAGAAAGCACATTTAGATATGTACGTACGTACGTATAATTTAATCGCTTGCTCGATTTGGAATATAATTTTTTTGGCCTTAATTAATGAATTTCCAAATATTCTATAAAGCGAATGCTCAAAACTAATAATTAATAAAAGAAATTAAAATGTAGCTTTATTCTTTGACTTTATATAAACAACTGGTGAAAATTTCTAGTCAATTTCACGTCTTGGCGATAAGTTGAAGCATTTTAAAGATCGATTTTAAGAAATGTATAAGTCGAAACTTAATTAGAGTATTAGCAAAAAAATCAAACGTAGTTACTTTGAGATGATTCTGATAAACAATTTCCAGTCAAAAGAAATCAGAAAAATAAGTGTAATTTTTATGTGGTCTTTAGAATTTTGCGCTTTTCTTTATAATTAAGCATAGTAAAATTTTATTCAATTAATTACTTTAATTTTACTGATAAAAATCTGTTCAAATCATCGATGTGACACCCCAATGGATCATGTACACTTAATGGTTATTCAAAAGTGTATACTTTATAAAATTTTATCATTAGACTCACCATCCCTATGTTTCATTTCTAATTCTTTAAGTTTTGTTTCCAGTTCCTTTAATTTTAATTCAAAATTCATTTTCATTTGCTTTTCAAACTCCAATTTGTCATTGTCGATTTTGATACGAGCTTCAACTTCCTTTTTTCTCAGTTTATATTCTGCTTCTTGCAATTCTATGTCTCTTGATTTATATTTTTTTTCAAATTTAAGTTTTTCACGCTCCATTTCAGAATGTTCATTATGCCATTTTTTTCTACTTTCTGCTGATATTTTTTTACTTTCGCTAATAATTGCTACTGACTCGATATATGATAAGTTATCATCATTTAATTTTTTTTTTTTACGTTGAATTTTCTCCTTATTATTATTAACGTTAGTACCATAGTGCTAAATATTTTAACAGAATATATTTTAGTATGAAGATTCAATTATGTAATATGTAAATAAAAACATGTACGCACGTACGATGCAGGAAATCTAAAACCTCAATCACTTTATATGGAATAAAAATCAACCTAAATTCAGGTTTGAGATTAACAGTTAAAGTTTTTGCATCATACGTACGTACATATATATATTTGGTAACATATTTTTAATATATTATATATACCTTTCCAGTGCTATCAATTATACACTCGGGATGAACATTCTCCCGATTACCAAAAATTTCATTTATTAAAAAGTAATAAGGCCATTGTGAGGTTCCCTTGCCTGTTTTTTCCTTACTTTCTTCAGAATATTTTTTAACTAGCCTCTGCAATTTATCACAGACCTGCACACTCGACTTGCCACCTAGATGTAAAGCAGTACTTGCATAGAATTTTTCTTTATTTTTACGGTAACTATCAAAATTTTCAGATAAATAAGCAAGCAACAATTTGACATTCGAATTAGACCATAATTTGTTACTGCTATCATCATCTTCAATTAACGGTCGTTTATTTTTTCCTTTATTTTGGGATGATGGAATAACTAATTCTTCATCGAATGAAATACATTCGACTATGGGTAAAGTAGTATTGGACGAACTTGCAGACAAAAAGTTAGATGAATGAATGTTTTGAGAAGTCGATAAAGAACTATATTGTGTAATATTTATACTATAACCATGCTGCTAATAATAAACAAAATTATACGTTTAAGCTAATTGTTAAGATTCTTTTTAACTATGATTATCTTATGAAAAAA